TCCCCTGCTGCTGCGAGAGGGAACCGGGCCGAACCATTTGCGTTCCCAGCAGCAGGGACAGAGGGCTCTGCCGCAGCCCCGGGCGGGGGCACAACCCCCCTCCCCGCACACCCGCGGCCGCAGCACGAAGCGCTGGGGGGACACACGTTGCGACCTTCCCAAACTCCCCTTCTGGCTTTTTACCGGCCACACGAGCAATTATTTTTTTCCCTGCAAACGTTGTCTCAGAAGCCAGGGCAGCCCCTGCAGGGATGTGCCCGCTGAGCACCGAGCTGCTCCCCCCGAGGTGCTGCCCCAGGGGTGCACACCCCAGGCCCGGGGTTCCCCTCTGTGCACACCCCAGCCTCGCTGGCCCTGCTCAGCACAGTGACTGGCTCTGCACCAGCCACAGTCACTCTGCAGAAACCCCTCCAGCTCTCCTGGCCGGCTGGAGATCAAAGCACAGCCTGGGATCAAGGTTCAGGTGTTCAGGTTTGTCCTCAGTCCCCGTGGCCTGACCCGGGCTCTCCGTGTCCCCTCCCCAGCTCCCAGCAGTGGGCACCGGGGCAGGATCACCCACCTGGAGGGCAGGGAGCAGCCTGCAGCAGTTGTCCCAGATGGTTTTGTGATCCTGGGCACTGTTTTCTTCGCTCCAGTTGCCGTGCTGGTAGATCCCTCCCAAGACCGTGAACTCACTCCTGCACCAGAAGCCAAAGGAGATAAATGGTGGTGTCTCCAGCCACCCCTTGCTGGGCCACCACGCAGAGGGCCTCTGGCTGTCAGTGTGATGTAGAGATCCTGCTGCTCCCTGAGCCTGCAACACGTTCCTGGTGGAGAAAGTCTTGCCAAGCAGGCAGGAGAGCAGCGCCTGCACGGCTGCTCCTGAGCAAGTCGTTCATTAACTGCTATCAGCACCCCAAAGGCCCCTGCTTGGGCAAACCCAACAGCTGATTTCATGCTCTAGCAAACAGGTTCTGCTCCTGCCTGGCTGGGGAAGTGAGCTGGAAGGAGCAGGATGCCTGCAGTGGGGAACATGAAGAAGCAGGTTTCTGTTGCTGCCACCCCAAAACTCTGTGGCTTAACAGAGGACAAGAGGCAGGTTAGGCTGGTTAAGGCTGGGGGAGCAGGGGACGTGTGTACCTGCTGGACCCTTCTCAAACCTTGCTTTGAGCACAAAGACAAAAGGGCTGAAAGCCAAGGTGTCTTAGGGCCAGGGTCTCCAGCATGCAAGAGGTGTCCTCCATGCCTGGGTGCTGCACCCACTGCCTCCTGTGGGAGCCAGCCTGGTGCCCAGCCATGTCAGCTCAGGCTAAAATAAACACAGGGAGAGGAATTCACATGTAGCTGGGACTGAAGTCAGAAATCCCTTGGAATACTTTGCCTGGGGGCTGTGATCATTCAAAGTTCCTGTTTACTTAATGGCTTGTTGCCTAATCCTGCAATACCAGCACAATGGGAAGTGCCAGAAATGCAGCATTCAAATTACAGCTCGAAAACCCCTCTCCTTTGCCAAAGAGGGGTAGATCGCTGCTCTCAGGAGGAAGCACAGGCAGGATGAACAGCAGACATGTATTTATTTATCCTGCAATTTAGCTGCCTGGGTACATGCCTCTGCTGCTGTCTCAGATAGATCCCAGCTCTCCTTGGAAAGTTGCTGGTGGGAAGCAGGTGGGAAGTGCCAGAGAAGTGCTGGGAGCTGGGCTCTGCCTGGGCTCAGCCGCTGGCTGAGCTTGGGAGATGATGCTTTTGAGGCCAGTCCCCTCATTTCAGCCCCCCTCACCTCCATGGGGACACAGAAATAAGGCAGTCCCCTGGGGTTCCTCCTCTGTTCCTGCAGGGAGGTGCCAGGGAGCCCTGTGTGGGTGCTGAACTGCATGGGATGCCCTCAGGAGATGTCTCCCCAACAGCCACAGCTCAGGCTGAGCTTTTATGCTTTCATTAAAGTAGCAAGAATTCCTTCCCCTGCTTGTAATGAGAGCATGACTCAGGAGACCCTTTCCTCACCATGAGCTGCTGTCAACACCACTGACAGCAGCACTGGGGATAAAGGAGAAAAACAAAAGATCTCTCCCAAAATGCTTGCCCTGCTCTCCGTGTTTGCCTTTGTTGAGGACCTGGCCAGGACTGGTGTTCTGCTTCAAGGGGGTTTGGTCCTTGGAAAAGGACACGTCCAGGGACATTGGAGCCCTGAGGTGAGAGCCCAGGACCAGCCCAGGCACTGAGCCAGGGTCTGTGCAGGGAGCTTGTGCACAGGCAGCTTGTCCCCGTGGTGCTTTAGGGCTGCTGGCAGCAGAGCACCCCTCACCCCAGCTCTCCCCTGCCACCTACCCCGGTATGATGTACGGCGAGTTGTAGATACCAGACTTGATGTCATGGGTGATGATGAAATGCTTCACCCAGGGGGCCTGGACCTGGGAGACAAAGGGGAGAGGGTCAGGAAGAGCCAGAGAGAGGGGTCCCTGGCTCGGGGAGGCAGTGGGACAGATGTGGGCAGCTCAGTAAACAGGGATACTGGGATCTGCATGTGGTGCCCTCCCTTCTCAGGCTCCATGTCCACCTGAGCTGCTGTGGGACACAGGGAGACAGGAGGGCAGGTAGGCAAGCACAGGAGCTTCCTACCTGGTGTGAGTCTGTGTTTCCCCAGATAATCATCCTCTTCTCCCAGGGATTTAATGTCTTTTTATTATTAGCATTTATACCTCTGGGCTCCTTCCCCCCACCTTCCCATGATGAAGGAACAGGCTGGACACTTGGGGTGTCCCCACAGCTGAACCAGGAATGGGATCCAGGTTTTCTGCTCAGGTGGCCACACATGAGGGTTTTACATGATCAACCATTTGCCTGGGAATCAGGAACTGATCCCAGTGTGGATCTGGGCCACAAGCCTGCAGCTTGCCCTGGAGTGTGTATCTGATGAGATGGCTGTTGAATGGCTCCCTCAGAAAAAAGAGGGGGACACAAGCCCCACACCCCCCTCACCTTGATGACCTGTCCTCGGCCGGGCTGTAGCTCCGGGTCAGGCTGCAGGTGCCCAGCACGCACCCCTGTGCAGTTAATGACAACGTCCACACCCTGGGCAAACAGCTGGGGAGACAGACACGGGGTGAGCAGCACACAGCCCTGCTGCCCCAGGGGCACCAGGTTCCTGCATCCAAGCCAAGCCAAGGACTTGGTCCAACAGTCTGGTAAGGAATAAACCACCAGGGCTGGATCTGGGGCACAGCTTGACCCCGTGTGTGCAGACAAGGACAGTTGCTGTGCAGGGACAGACTTACTGCCTGTGCTTGGCTGCATCTTCCCTCAGTGCAAAAACACAGCAACCCCATCCCATCTCAGCCACCTCGTGGTGCCCAGGAGCCTTTATCCTTGCTAGCAGGATTTGTTTCCTAGATCTTGGCATATTCTAGCTGCTGCCCATCACTCAAGAGCCATTCTGGAGCAGCACATCCCTCTGGATGTTACTTCTCCATGCCTGCTGCCCTGCCCTGTCCCAGCCTGAGGCAGCCACTCACCTCCTGGAAAGATTCAATCTTCTTATGGAAAAACTTTACTCCTCTCTCAGTTAACCTGGCAAGAACAAGTTCATTTGTTACCAGTGAATTATAAGCAAATGCACAATTCAAATTGTTGCCTGTAACTGATACCCAGAGTAGGTTCAGCTTTTTGCTCCTTGTAACAAACAGCCGTGGACTTCTTGGGGGTTCCTAACAGTCTCCAGCCAGTAGCTCCTTTCCCTGGTGTCCCAGAGCTGCTGAGGGTGATGGATCCTGCTCAGCTCTGTCTCCGAGCCCTGCTGGGAATGGGGCACCCACCCCACATTGGGGATGACAAGAACAAAACCAGGCCCCAAATACTCCCACAGCTAAAAGCCACGTGTCACCGTTTAAATGCAGTCCTGGGAAAAGTGTAGAAGTGGGGAGCCTGTTACCCCACTCATTCCAGATCCTTTGTGCTGCTTTCCAGGGATACATCTCTGCTTCCTCCTTCTCCTTTGGCTCACCCCACCCTGCCTTCACCCCTGCACTGCTGCAAGGCACAGGGTGAGGGCTGTGAGGGCAGGGCAGGATGCTCAGGTCACCTTGAAGCCACCAGCACCAGCATTTCCCAGCTGAGCAGCTCCGAGGTGCAGCCGGATGCAGGGCGGCCGCCTAAAGTCAGTGCTGCCTGAACTCAGCCACCAACTTGGCAGAAGAGAAGGATCAGGGGCAACCCCTGGTGTGCAGGATGAAAACCACGCCTGCTCCCACGTCCTGCTGGCCAGAAATCAGCGCAGCAGCAGCTCCCCAGCCCCAGCACAGCCCCGCCCAGCGCCCGGCTCAGCACTCACCTGCTGGTGAGCCAAGGCAGGTAACTCCTGCCCTCCAGCATCAGCGCCGTGTTGAACCACCCGTAGCTGAAAGCAGATGAGAAGAGGAACCCGTGAGGACCCACAGCAGCTTTACACCAGCAGCCACCTCCTGCCCCAGCCCTCCCTATGGTCTCTGCAGCTCTGGGACTCCAAGTTCCCCTTGCACAACAAGTGCATGCATTTTTTCCCCTCTGCTTACAGCATAAAACACCATCTGCTGATTTTCTTTCCCCAGTTCTACAATATCTGGTGAAGGAAGAAACAGCTGGAATGGTTTCCATGCTGAGCTGCCACTTTTTTTGATTATTTGAGGTGCTTCCGATGTATTTTAAGGGAAGCAGCTGTAACGAAGCAAGACCACTTCTATGCCCACAGTTTCTTGTCCTTGCAGCCCCTTGGCAGGGAGGTGTCTGGGACCATCCAGTCATACCTGTCCTGCCTCAGGGAAAGCACACCAGTGACTCTCTGGAAAACGGACTGAAAAATACCTGTAGCCAGGGAAGAGTTCAAGCTCTTTTGGTGTTAAGTTCCTGAATCCCAGGACAATGTTCTTCCAAGATGGGTCCTGCAACGGTGGAAAAGGTCTAAGCTCACTAACAAACCTAAATCATCATAACAAACCTGCCACGGTACCATGGATCAGAGGCCACGGGGATCACATCCCAGCCCAGAGGAGCAGGAGGCTCTGCCAGCCCCCACAGAGGGCTCAGCCCTCTCAGCCTTGTCTTCATACCAAGATTGCATCAGGGGATCCGGAACACACTGAGTCCCTGGCAAACTGTCACAAGACAGACTTGGGAAGCATTCAGAGTATTGCCTGGGAAGAAGCACAACCCCACCAGCCCTGGGCAACCTCCGAGCTGGAGCCCTTCCCAGCCCTGGCTGGGACTTGCTCCTCACCGGCACAGGCTGCGTGAACAAGTTGTAGCCAGAAATGAGGAAAAGTCCCATTTCCCTCGCTGCTGGTGAGCCCAGGTGCCTGAGGAGGTAATCAAACGTCTCTTTGTTCCAGAGCCTGCCATGAAAAGAGGAGAGTGGTGGCTTTGCCAGCCCTGTGGACCTGTACTGGGTTCCAGCCCCTCCTGCACAGCAGGGGGGACAGGACACCGGCTCCCTCCTCACTTCCGTCTCCTGCAGGTTGCCCTGGTCGCTCAGGTAGGGCTGCCACAAGCCAGCTGCCCCGTCACTGGTGGTGTGGGGAGTGTAGTGGTCTGCATAGACCTCCATGTCCAGGGAGGGCACCAGGCTATGGAACTGCTGGTGGATGCAGAGGGCGGTGGAGAGGCCGATCACCCCGGCCCCGATGACGGCCACGCGCATGGCCCCAGCTCCCTGCAAGGGGGGGATGCTTGGAGGGCAGTGCAAGGGACAAGGAGCTGCTGGGACAAGCTGGGGCTTCTCAAGAGGGAGCATCAGCTCAGGGAGGATCTGACCTGGCCTCAGCTCTGCCACTGGAGCAGAGCTGGGCTGCAGGGAAGGGGCTGAGCTGCCTTTGGTGCATTTGTATGCATTTCTTGTGAAGCCTCCCAAGTCCTCTTCAACACCCATCTGTGCTGACCAGGCACCAAAGTCACAGATGGAGGAGAGTGTAGTTTGCTGTGGTGGCAGGGGAAGGTTCCTCTGCTGGTTGCAGGCCTTGTACTCAGGGCAGCACCCCTGACTCTGTAGCTGAGCTCTGAACATCTGAACTCTGTAGCTGCTGGTGAGCTGACAATCTCATGGCACGAGCCCTCCAGGAGCCCAGCGACCCAGCCCAGCCCCAGGGAGTCCTGAATACTCCCCAGGCCCTGGCACAGGCTGGAGATAACAGAGGTGGGCACAGAGGAAAGAAAAGGGAAACACTGGGTGTTTTCCAGGGAGCGATGCCAGGTCCTGTAGATCCAAGGGTGTCACCTCAGGGATGCAGGTGAGGGCTGTGCCACCACTCCAAACACTTTCTGGCTGGGAAAGCTGTTGCTTGTAAATGACAGCTCAAAAGAGGGTCTGCAGCCTCCCTGGGTCCCCATGTCTTCTGTCTTGCCTGAGCTTTCCTGCCTTGCAGCCTGGGAAGAGCCCTGCAGGCACCTTCTGGGCAGAGAGTAGCCAAGGACCGAGTCAAGGAAGGGCTGAGGGTACAACAGGGCAGATCACCTCAGTCACATCCCTGGATGCTCAGCTGCCAGCCTGTGGGTAGGAGGAGGGGTGCCAGAAGCACCCAGACCCGGTTCTGGGCAGCCTGGGTAAATTCTAGCCCGGAGTTTTATCTGGACAAGGTGAAGTGCAGCAGCTCTGCTGGGAAAGGCCACCTGCAGCGGGGCTGGCATTTGCTGGGCTGGAGGGATGAGTCACTGGGATGGCAGCGGAGAGCCAAGCTGCTTCCCATCTGCTGTGGTTTTATAACCCACAGCCCGCAGGACCCGGGGCCACCTCCTCCTCCTGCAACCACAGGGACCTGCCCGTGCAACGCCAGCCAAGGAGGCAGCCACCTGGATGGCCAATAAATAATGGAAGCACATTTTCCAACCGCTTACCTGCAGAGCGTGTGGTCTCTGGGACAGCCACCGCGGTTTGCAGAGCCCCCGGCAGAGCCCCCCGGTCTGGGGGAGCCTTTTTTACAGCCCAGCAGGCTGCCTGCAGGGCAAGGTCTGAGCAGCCAGGGCAGCAGGGCTGCA